CCCCCCCCCCCCTTTATAAGAATCCTAATAAGTGGCCACATAAACCCACGCGACCCCCTCCCCCCCTTAAATGCGTGTAACTGCACATATTTCACACAATTGAACTTTATTATTATTCTTATAAATCACACTCATTTATACAGAAGATTTATTTCACCAACTATTTCAGAAAAAGGAAATATTACGCACCAATTCCACACACACCTCCACACACCACCAAACACCACCTTTTCCCTTGTGCTCTGGTCAGTTTTAGCAGTGCTACTCGGCATTTAGTTTTGAGAGTCACTATGAATAGATATGTATTACAAAAGCGTAGAGCTACAACAACGAACAGGCATGTGGCAAGGTTGTTTTGGATTGTGAAGTTGATTACCATTGGGTGAAGTGGGTGGCGGGGTTAAGGTGGGTCAGTTGGGTTATGTTTGGGTGTAGTAGGTTTTGTTGTTAAGGTGGGTCAGTTGGGTTATGTTTGGGTCAAGTGGGTGCTGTTGTTAAGGTGGGTCAGTTGGGATATGTTTGGGTGAAGTGGGTGTTGTTGTTAAGGTAGGTGAGTTAAATTATGTTTTGGTGAAGTTGGTGTTGTTGTTAAGGTGGGTGAGTTAGGTTATGTTTGGGTGAAGTTGGTGGTGTTGTTAAGGTGGGTGAGTTAGGTTATGTTTGGGTGAAGTGGGTGGTGTTGTTAAGGTGGGTGAGTTAGGTTATTCTTGGGTGAAGTGGGTGGTGTGGTTAAGGTGGGTGCTTTGGGTTATGTTTGGATCAAATTGTTTATATTGTGTTAATTTGGATGAGGTTGTTAGATATAGGTGAGATGGGTTAGATTTTGTGAAGTGTGTTAGGCTAAGTTGCTGTTGTAAACGTTGGGTGTGGTTGGTTAGAGTTGGGTGACATTGGTTTGGATTGAGTTAGGTTTGTCAGTGTTTGGTAAGTGTGGTTTGTGTTTGGGAAGGTTGGTTAGGATTGGGGAAGGTTGGCTAGGGTTGGGAAAGGTTGGTTTGGATTGGAAAAGGTTGGTTAGAGTTGGGAAAGGTTGGTTAGGGTAGGGAAAGGTTAATTAGTGTTGGGAAAGGTTGGTTAGGGTTGGGAAAGGTTGGATAGGGTGGGAAAAGGTTGGTTAGTTTTGGGAAAGGTTGGTTAGGGTTGTGAAAGGTTGGTTAGTGTTGGGAAAGTTTAGTTAGGGTTGGGAAAGTTTGGTTAGCAGATGTCAGCCTGTCAGCATCATAAAGAATTTAACATTGAGTGAAAGTGTCTTAACAAACTGCAGCATAACTGTGATCATCGGCCTGATGGGAAATTAAAATAATTGTTATTAATTTTTGTTGATTTTTTCACCATGAAGTGAATTATTATACCAAAGATTCTTAATGGGGCGTTCTATATCAGGCATGATATTATCAATTACCATGGTGTGGATGATTCTAGTTACGTCATTTTAATGTGACTCCCTTTAAAAGACATGATACTATTAATTACAATTGTGTGGTTTGTACACACATTCTACTTAATGGACTTTATGTAGAAGACACGTTTGTTTGACGTATTATAAATTCATGTTTGTTTTAAAAACCTATTTAACATGTTTGCCCTCTGGATGTTGGGATTCTTTTATGTGGACCACTTCTGTTAATAAAATGATATTGTCCTAACACTATGTTGTATTTTTTAAGCCAATGGCATCTTCTTGGCTGAAATCGTCCAGTCGACAACACAATTATTATTTGAAAGCAACAGTCAACCAGTATTTCCAATCGATAACAACAATTTCTAAAATATAACTAACCAACAAGTATTTCAAATCAATAACCAGTATGTCACAAAAATATGAACAAGTCAGTATTTAAAATCAATAATCAAACAGTATTTCAAATCAATAATCAGTCTATATTTTAAGACAATACCCAATCTATATTTGTAATCGTTGATCCATATGCATTTCAAATAAAAACAAACAAACAATAATTTAAATCCATAATCAAACAGCATTTCAAATTAAAAAGTAAAAGTTATGTTAAATAATAAAAAAGTCAACCAGTTTCTTAAATCAATACCAAATTGTATTTTAATTCATTACCAAATTGTATTTTAAATCATTAATCATTATCTTAAATCGTTTGTTAAACATTACACATGAATAAACAACCAGTATTTCCACACAAGTTATGATAAAAGTGATGTAAAATAACATCAGTAATAATTCAGTAAATTACACAAGTGACAACTAATCACCGACAATTTACAAACTCGTGTTTATCTATTTACACAATGCAGTCATCAACAAGTTTTTAAAATGTTTAAATATCTTCTTTTTTTTTAAAGTAGCGGGTTGTTTGGACATTTCAAATGTGAGGGGGTGGGGGGGTCAAATAATTTCTTGGTTTTCAAGAATTTGTTATTTTAGTAGAAAGTATGTATACACATCTCTCCTCGCTACCTTAGATTATGTGTCTAGTGCTTTGCTCAATTGCTTGTCTACGAGATCCTTGGGTCATCTCACTCAATTCGTTATCCATAATTCACTTAACTCTTTGTTATAACGGTCTTCTGGACTCGATGCCCTCAGGTATTGCGCTACCGAGACAATGAATTCTATCTAATAATAACGTGAGGAATAAACATAACAATTTAAGTGCGGTTTAAAAAAGTCGTAAACATGTGTATCATTTTTAAAAAAACAGAATTGTTTCCTTTTTAATTGATTTCTTTTCTCAATTGATTTCGAACTGTCCATTGAGATCATACGCAATATTGCTGAAACCACATCAGTTCTTTCTATATATTTTTGGATGATGATTATAATGGTAAGAACCGTTTTAAAATCGGAAAAAAAAAGTTTTTATTGTATAGCTTTTTATGAGACAAACATTGCAGAGTGAGGCTTTGAGAAAAGTTTTTAAAAGTAAGTTGGCAGGTAATGCACAACCATGATTGTGTAAATCACAACAATTGCATACTTTATCAAAGGATCCATATTAAAATTGCCGCTAGTTTTTACGAGTGAAGTAAGTTCCAGCCTGTCAGCTTGGTCACTTTTTAAATCTTCTTCTTATGCCTTTTTATCCAGTTTGTGTCTCTACATTTTGTAAGACTTCAAATCACAGATCGCCACTTTTCAGCTTTTTGCTACCCTTCTCCTTTAATGTGCAAGATGCCCCGCGCGGGGAGCTGAATGGAAAAACTGAGAGGCATGGGCATTTTATTGCATTGCCCGCCACCTTCCCTGAATTTTTTAGGTTGTTCAAGTGGATCATGCTACTTTTTTGGAGTACCTATCTGTGTGAAAAGCTCTTTTCCAAAATGCACTTTAACAAGTCAACGATCAGGGCCAAACTTACTGATGATGATCTTCAAGCTATACAGAGGGTCTCAGTTGCTTCCTCACTCAAGCCAATATTGCTCAGCTGTGTAAAAAGAAGCGCTGCCAGGTCTCTCGCAACAGTGAGTAGGTGGAAAAAAGTGAATCCTAGTTCTTGAGAACACTTAATATTTTTATTTTTATTTAATAAAGATTGAGCAGATTGTACCAGTTGTAATCGCTTTTTTTGTGGAACGATCGCTTAGTTTAATCTTTAAGATCGCTTACTTTGTTCTTAAAGATCGCTTAGTGTGTTGTTAAAGATCGTTCAGTTCTTTGTTAATGATCGCTTTATTTGTTTTAAAGATAAGTTAGTTTGTGTATAAAGATCTTTTATCCTCCCAACAGAGGCAGATCTGGTCAAGGTGGCAGAGGCAGAGCTGGTCAAGGTGGTAGAGGCAGAGCTGGTCAAGGTGGCAGAGGCAGAGCTGGTCAAGGTGGTAGAGGCAGAGCTGGTCAAGGTGGTAGAGGCAGAGCTGGTCAAGGTGGCAGAGGCAGAGCTGGTCAAGGTGGCAGTGGCAGAGCTTGTCAAGGTGGCAGAGGCAGAGCTGGTCAAGGTGGTAGAGGCAGAGCTGGTCAAGGTGGCAGAGGCAGAGCTGGTCAAGGTGGCAGAGGCAGAGCTAGTCAAGGTGGCAGATGCAGCTGTTCCGAGCTCTGGTCAAGGTGGTAGAGGCAGAGCTGGTCAAGGTGGCAGAGGCAGAGCTGGTCAAGGTGGCAGTGGCAGAGCTTGTCAAGGTGGCAGATGCAGAGCTGGTCAAGGTGGTAGAGGCAGAGCTGGTCAAGGTGGCAGAGACAGAGCTGGTCAAGGTGGCAGAGGCAGAGCTGGTCAAGGTGTCAGAGACTGTCGGCCTGTCCCCAGAGGAGGCCCTGGAAACTTTCCCGGGCTATTACATGTCAGCTGATGCTGACAAGGACGGGAAACGTTCACTTCATGGTATGGGGCGGTGATGAAAGGCTGTTGCTGTGGATGAGCGGTGATGTGTTGGCCTGATACGGTTGGTTGGTTCTGTGGATGAGTGGTGATGTGTTGGCCTCATACGGTTGTTTGGTTCTGGTGGTTGGGTAGTTCAAAGGTTTGGTGGTGCTAAGGTGGGGTGGTGCTAAGTTTGTGTGGTTGTAAGGTTTAAGGGTGGTAAGTTTGGGTGGTGCTAAGTTTGTGTGGTGGTTAGTTTGTGTCGTGGTTAGTTTTCGTGGTGGTTAGTTTGGGTGGTTGTAAGGTTTAGGGGTGATAAGGTTGGGTGGTGCTAAGGTGGGGTGGTGCTAAGTTTGTGTGGTGGTTAGTTTGTGTGGTGGTAAGTTTGTGTGGTTGTAAGGTTTAGGGTTGGTAAGGTTGGGTGGTGCTAAGGTGGGGTGGTGCTAAGTTTATGTGGTGGTTAGTTTGTGTGGTTGTAAGGTTTAGGGGTGGTAAGTTTGGGTGGTGCTATGTTTGAGTGGTGGTAAGTTTGTGTGTGGTAAGGTTGGGGGTAGTAAGGTTGGGTGGTGCTAAGTTTGAGTGGTTGTAAGATAGGTTGGATGGTGCTAAGTTTGAGTGGTTGTAAGATAGGTTGGGTGGTGCTAAGTTTGTGTCATGGGAAGTTTGTGTGATGGTAAGTTTGTGTGGTGGTAAGTTTGTGTGGTGGTAAGGTTGGGTGGTGCTAAGTTTGTGTGGTGGTAAGGTTGGGTGGTGCTAAGTTTGTGTCGTGGGAAGTTTGTGTGATGGTAAGTTTGTGTGGTAGTAAGTTTGGGTGGTGCTAAGTTTGTGTGGTGCTAAAGTTGTTGCTGCTAAGGTTGAGTGAAGCTAACGTTGTGTGATGCTAAGGCTGAGTGGTTCTAAGGTTTTTTGAGTGGTGCTAAGTTTGGGTGGTGTTAAGATTGGGTGGTGCTAAGGTTGAGTGATTCTAAGGTTGGTTTGGTGGTGCAAAGTTTGGATGGTCCTAAGGTTGAGTGGTTCTAAGTTTGGTTGGGTGGTGCTAAGATTGGATGGTACTAAGGTTGAGTAGTTCTAAGGTTGGTAGGGAGGTGCTAAGTTTGGGTAGTTATAAGATAAGGTGGTGTTAAGGTTAGATGATGTTAAGGGTCTGGTGGTGATAAGTTTGGAAGGTGCCATATTTGGGTGGTACTAAGTTTAAGTGGTACTTAGTTTGGGTGGTACTGAGGTTCTGCTACGGTTGGATGGTGCTTTGTTTGGCTACATATGAATGGTTTCGTGTGAGCAAAGATGTGTGCGATAATTAAGCTTTCAAGAGCACTTCGGACCCTTTTAACTTGGTAATGCACACATTACATGAGTTGGATCCTTCAAGTAAACCTACAAAATGAAGGTTTATCCTGATTCTTCCAGGACAGATCCCTGTCGTTGCAGGTGGCTTCAAGGCAGCATAGTATCCCTTAATTAAATTTTTATAGCCAAGCTCCACAGTATTTAGAGCTGTCCATTCGTTCAAGAGCGTATTATTTCTTGCACGTTATCCAGTGGCCTAGATTTGATAGGGTACCATGACTCTGATGTCAAGGATAAATGATGTTGTTGTTGTTTTTTAAGACCAAAGTGCACTATTTGAATGCTGTTGTTGAAGTGGTCCAAACAACGTGCAAGTATTAGATGGTGAGGACGTAGATGAAGGAATTAAATATTTTAACTAGCTGGAGTCGTTTCCTAGCAGTTACAGGTTCAAGTATTAGATGGTGAGGACGTAGATGAAGGAATTAAATATTTTAACTAGCTGGAGTCGTTTCCTAGCAGTTACAGGTTCAAGTATTAGATGGTGAGGACGTAGATGAAGGAATTAAATATTTTAACTAGCTGGAGTCGTTTCCTAGCAGTTACAGGTTCAAGTATTAGATGGTGAGGACGTAGATGAAGGAATTAAATATTTTAACTAGCTGGAGTCGTTTCCTAGCAGTTACAGGTTCAAGTATTAGATGGTGAGGACGTAGATGAAGGAATTAAATATTTTAACTAGCTGGAGTCGTTTCCTAGCAGTTACAGGTTCAAGTATTAGATGGTGAGGACGTAGATGAAGGAATTAAATATTTTAACTAGCTGGAGTCGTTTCCTAGCAGTTACAGGTTCAAGTATTAGATGGTGAGGACGTAGATGAAGGAATTAAATATTTTAACTAGCTGGAGTCGTTTCCTAGCAGTTACAGGTTCAAGTATTAGATGGTGAGGACGTAGATGAAGGAATTAAATATTTTAACTAGCTGGAGTCGTTTCCTAGCAGTTACAGGTTCAAGTATTAGATGGTGAGGACGTAGATGAAGGAATTAAATATTTTAACTAGCTGGAGTCGTTTCCTAGCAGTTACAGGTTCAAGTATTAGATGGTGAGGACGTAGATGAAGGAATTAAATATTTTAACTAGCTGGAGTCGTTTCCTAGCAGTTACAGGTTCAAGTATTAGATGGTGAGGACGTAGATGAAGGAATTAAATATTTTAACTAGCTGGAGTCGTTTCCTAGCAGTTACAGGTTCAAGTATTAGATGGTGAGGACGTAGATGAAGGAATTAAATATTTTAACTAGCTGGAGTCGTTTCCTAGCAGTTACAGGTTCAAGTATTAGATGGTGAGGACGTAGATGAAGGAATTAAATATTTTAACTAGCTGGAGTCGTTTCCTAGCAGTTACAGGTTCAAGTATTAGATGGTGAGGACGTAGATGAAGGAATTAAATATTTTAACTAGCTGGAGTCGTTTCCTAGCAGTTACAGGTTCAATCTATTCATTAACATCGCATGCGAAGAGGGGAAAGTGTGGGGTTAGTATGAAATGAGGGATTTTACTTCAAGCCTTTGAGACGTCTAACTGTTGAGTTCTACTAGCATTGTATGTTTGAAAATCTAGAAAATTCATAAAAGGTCTAAAGTGATAAGTATAAAAAATAAATTTACATATTTCTTTTTTTTCCCCTTCAGAATTCAAGGCATTGTACAGCCCTTAAGATTGGAGACCGGAAACTACACCATTGAGTCTTCCTTTGACGTCATTTGTGTTAGAACGTGCAACCCAATGACGTCACGTCATGTCATTTTGCGATAGAAAAATAACGAAAGAGATATGAACTTGATTTTTATTCTAAACTAGCGAGTACCCGGCATGCGTTGCAATGCCACTCAAGGAAAGAAAGTGTTTGCATGTTATGTTTCTTCAAGAGCTTTTAAATACTCAAAGTTTTTCTTGTTTTTCCATCTGGTATATACACGAATAAATCAGAAGATTTTCCGACGCGAGAGCAGGCCACATACATCTGTCCATGGGCGAAGCATGGGTTTTCCAAATTTAGTCCGCAAACTTGTAGCGATTGTCCCTGTGCTTTTTAGATAGTCATTGTAGACGCGTGTCGCATCGGAAACTGTAGGCGTTTGAATTCAATGGCATATTTATTTATTTAATTATTTAGGCATTTTTATATAGCGCTTATCATAAAGCTCTAAGCGCTTTACAATTATTAAAACATGTAAACTAAGTAAATACAAATGAGATACTAGGATAGTAACTACTATTTTATAGAAACAATGAAAATGGCTATAAAACGAGGACACTTTGACACTTCAGGATCAACCCGAAACAGAAAATGAGGTAGGGCAAGGAGGGTGCATCACAGGTCATAGGCGGACCTAAACAGATGAGTTTTAAGGACGGATATGGAAGGGGAGCTGGTTCCAGAACGTGGGCCCATGGAAGCAGAAGGAGCGTTCACCGATGGTCTTAGTTTTAGTTCTTGGGATTGAGAGGGTTCTACTGTCAATGGAAGAACGTAGTTGTCTTGTGGGGATGTAAGGAAGCAACAGTTCAGAGAGATAGACAGGAAAGTAAGGGTCAGTGAACGAGTTGAAGCAAAGATTGGCAGACTTGTATTTGATGCGAGAGGATATTGGAAGCCAGTGGAGTTGCCGCATATCTGTTGGAATCATTGGGGTGAATGGCAAAAGTACATCACCTAGTTTAAATTTTCCATTTAAAATAGTAACTTCAATGGAACCAATTTCGGAAGATTCTTTTGAAAAAATGTACCGTACCTAATGCTTCGATATCAAATTGCGTTTCTCGTTGCAAATCAAGAGCGAAAAGTTTATTTGCAGATCGATTCCGAGAGGTCATTCCCAACTCATGAATCATCAATCGATATGAATAGTATTTCATGGCACTGTCTTTCTTATTCGAATTTCTCAATTTGATGTTAAAATGATATCCATCTTCTCCTTCCCAAAATAAAATAGGATATTGCAATCAAACGTATGAGCGATGAGTTTCTGAGACTCGCTGAACATCAACACTTCTGCGATGAAGAATTATATCACTTGAGTTAAATTCTTTGCCAACTATAATGATCGCCACTTCATCAATTGTTGGTGCATTGTATTGTCTTTCATGTTGGCCGAAAGTTCTGCTCTAACTATGACTTTGTATTCATCAGTCGGCATCTTTTCAAGTGCAACTCTATACATTTGAATTAATTCGTTGTGTTGAAAAAATAACGTTTGCATTGCAGCGACAATTTGTCGTTTAGTAACCGTATTGATATGACAACGCTGATCGATTTGCTCATCAGTATTCCCCATGAAATCATTTGAAGACATAATTTGTGATCTGTGTTTGGCATTGGCATCAGAGATCCTACACGATGATAAATTTGGCATTTCACTTTACTTTAAATGTTGGCATGTAATTCTCGCGCACGATATTTGTTGCACGGAACGATGTCATTTGGAAACATGAATTGCATTTGCGTATGTTTGCCAAGAAATGTTTCGATTTGCTATTGTCACCTGATACCAACAATGATAATGGTTTTGATGGTGAATGTAATTCTCACACGTTAGGATCTGCCATCTTTTTACATGAAAACCTCTCACAATAGGTACGTTCATTGTTGATAGGAGATTTCCAGTTGTATAGTAAATTGCGGCGGTAAAAAATGACCATAGTTCAATATCTACGCTATCAAGTGTGTTATTTAATTACTTGAGA